TGGTGCTGCTGCAGCAGCTGCCGTCTGCGCGATCTCTTTGCTCTCGATGACGTCATCGACAGAGGACGACGGCTCTTCCGGTTTGGCCGGCGCCGCGTCAGAGATTTCCGGTTCTGGAGCTTCGTTCTGTGTGATCAGAGCATCTGGTCTCGCAGCAGGCTCGGCGACGAAAGCGCCAGTGGCGTCATCGATGTTTGACTCGCCTCTCACTTCTGCGCCCATCAGGTTCTGGTAATCGTTTGAGGAAACGGCTGGGTTGTAATCCACGCTGGAGTCGAACTCGTTCACGAGAGAATCGATGCCCGATTTGTTATCCACAGAAGTGCTCTGTTCTGTGACGGGGGTCTGCAAGCCTTGGTCGGTGACGGGGGCGTCTAACAAGGAATCGATTCCCGATACTGCAGGCTCCACATCATTGATAATTTGCTTGTCTCCAGCATCGACCAGAGTATCGAACTCGTCCTGTCTTCCGATTTCGGCGGCCCCGTTGACTACCGGGGGCTCAGATTGTTGCTGGGAGGCTGTGTCTGCGGGGATGAGCTCCGCCTCTTGGACCTGGGCATCGGAGGCTTGTGACGCAGTCATCTCCTCTCGAAACTCGTTCTGGAGCTGGTTGAACTGGTCCTGGTCTGTCAAGAAGCTGTCCGTCTTGGGCGTGAACCCGTCGTAACTGCTGCTCTCCTCTGTAATTGGATCGCCAGCTGTGTATCGATTCTGCGCGTCATTGCCGTCTGTTCCTCCCATAATGTCGCCACCGTCATCGTAAAAACTCCCGTCCATCGACATGGACATGAGGGGGTTGTCAGCCGTCTCCTGCGGCTCGGAGACAGAGTCTTGAGCGCCTAACTCATCCTCTACTCCGCTCCTGTCTTCTGCACTCGTCTCCGAAGTCTCTGTCGTTCCAGTGTACGTGTTGTTGGTCACAGGTCCCTGATCCATCGGTTGCGATTCCTCGTCCTCTTCTTCGTCCTCCTCTTCTTCCTCCTCTTCCTCTTCTTCTTCCTCTCCGGAGTTCAAGAAGGGGTTGTTCTTAGCGTTTATAGCCGCGTCGTCGGCGCCGGCAGCAGTAGATGTAACCGCGGAGCCGTCAACATCAAAACGTGTCTCACCTTCTACTTCACCAGCGGTTAAAAAGTCCCCACCGTTGACCGCCGCGGTGTGCGATGAATTAACGCCAGTGACAACAGCCGCGCATGTCGACGTCGTCTCAGCCAGCGAGCCCGCGGTTTGGGAGGAGGAGAAGAAAGACTCCTCGTCTACGTCACGGGCTTGACCTAGATTCAGGTCCTGGCAGGAGGAGGGAGGGGCGGCGGTGGTGGCGGAGGAGGTATAGCCCAGCCCGTCTCCCGGCTGTGACGACAGGGGGTCAAAGGACGACATGTCTTCCTCTCTAGGCTCGGGAGGGGACGGGAGGGGTTGGGGGACAACTTCGGGGGATTCCCGGCCGGACAAAGTATCCGCGAAGCCACCGGTTTCTTCCCGGTCCGCGAAGGACGCCATTTTCTCGTCCCCGAAGTCAGTAGGAGCGCGAGTGCCGAAACTTTCTGCTTCTTGTTGAGCGAGTCTGTTTTCCTCCTCTTCTTCTGCCTTCAATCTTTCCAGTTCCATCTCTTCTTCCCTGATCCTCTGTCTTTCTTCCTCTTCTTCTCTTGCTCTTTCTCTTTCCAATTCTTCTTCTCTCATTCTTTCTCTTTCCAGTTCCTCTTCTCTCAATCTTTCTCTTTCAAATTCCTCTTCCCTCAATCTTTCTCTTTCCAATTCCTCTTCTCTCAACCGTTCTTTTTCTATTTCCTCTTCCCTCATTCTCTCTCTTTCCATCTCTTCTTCTCTTGCCCTTTCTTTCTCCATCTCCTCTTCTCTCAGTCTTTCTTTCTCCATCTCCTCTTCCCTCATCCTCTCTCTTTCCATCTCCTCTCTCATCTCATCCTCTCTGTCTTCGTCTCTCATCTCCTGACAGTAATCATCAGTAACGGTCACTATCGGCGGCTCTGCTTGAGTGGCTGCCATAGCCTCGACCTCGTCCTCCTCGTCACGCCTCTCTCGACTTACGTCATCAGTTTGAGCTGTTACGTCACTGTCCTCCCGCTCGTAAGTCGGGGGAGCGCCGGGGGCCCACGCAGACTCGACGGGGGCAGATTCCGAGGACTGGATCTCTTCCTCCCTCAGCAAACCGTCTTCTTGATGTTCTTGTTCAGCTGGGGTGCGTTCCTCGGAGAGCAAAGCGTCTTGTTGGGTTGACGAGTCGTCTTCTTGAGGAACGTCTTCTTTCTGTGTCGCCTCAGCCTCGGCGGCTTCCTCTTTCTCATCCATATCCACATCGTCAGTGAAACCTTGATTGACGATTCCTAAATCGCTCGCCTCACCACCTGCTGGTTTCTCTTCTTGAAACTCATTTGATTTGATCAGAGGGTCCACAGTTTTCTCCTCCTCAAATTCATCCGATTTCACCGCTTGAGAAATTCCCGCAGCAACTCCTCCTTGGTACAGATCTGTTTCGTCGGCTCCGACAGCTGGGCCAGCATCGCTTTCGATTCTGTCGTCTTCCACCATTTGCTCTTCTTGGAACTGGCCAGGCGTGCTTTCAGCAGTAGCAGCCTCTGTCTTTTGAATGAAAGAATCTTCTTCCTCCACCATTCGCCTTTCCGTGTCTCTATCCTCCTCTGTCTCTTGTGGGAATTCGGCGGCGGCTTGTGACTGGGGTTGGGGGCGGTCTTCCTCTTCTTCTACTCCCTCCATAGCGCCGCCAGGAACATCGGCAGGTCTAGCCCCAAGGGCCTCCTCTACCAGCTCATCCCTCATTGGCTGGATTTGTTCCACGGGATCCATTTCTAAATCGGCGGAGTCTTCATCTTCGTCTCTCTCCTCTTCTTCTTCCTCCTCTTGCAACCTCTCGTAGTTGAGGGGATGTCCGTTCTCATGATTTCCTCCTTCAACGTTCTGTTGATTCATGGGCGCTTGGTCGAAGGCGTCAGACTCTGATGCGACTTCCTGGGGTCTGGAACAGGCCGTATCTCTCAGCGCAGGATCCCCAGGGACCAACTCGCGCTCTGACGCGTCATCTTCATCCTCCTCTTCAGTGCTGTCTTCATACACTCCCTGAGCAGCCTCTTCCTCTCTGGTGGCCTCCTCAGTATCCTTTCTGTTCTGCAGCTCTTCCAGGAATGGGTTGTAGCCCACGATTGGCCGCTCGTCGTTATCGTCCGCAGTTCCCTGCTCTGATGGATGTTGCTCGGAAGCGCGGTGGTCGTCATCATGTTGTGGTGGCGGGGTCGAGAAAGGATTCGAACCGTTGCCATCTGCAGCACCTCCTTCGAAAAAGTCAGCTTCGTCGCCCCTACCCTGTTCAAACTGATGCTCGTCAGCCAGGTCGGAAGAAGCCACACCTTGATTTCTGGCAGCTTCCCGCGCAAAATTTGCAGGCAAATCATCTGAATAGCCAGTGTCCTGTTGTTCAAAGTCTGGATACGCGTTTTCATTGGCTGGGGGCACGTCCGCTTCGCTCTGGGCATGGGACATGCTGTGATCGGTCTCGTTCTGGGAGTGGGACGAGGGCTGTGGCGAAAAGGGATCGAAGGAGGGGTCTGATGGTTTCTGCACGTGTGTCGGGTCGGCGGGGTCATAGGACGGGTAGTCGTCTGCAAAACAGGAAGGAAAAGAGGACAATGTTAGTTTGTTGATGTTGTTGAGACACATTAGAGGTATTCTTGACTCAGTGCCATTGGAGGAGGAGGAGGGGAGGAGGAGG